AAAAATGCAAATTTCCAATTCACTAAAAAGTGGAAGTATTGCTCGAGCGGTCGTTTGTCAAAAAATTTACATCCAAATTAACTAATGTTCATTTACATATACGATTGGGGTTCGAGTCCGAGTTGCGATGGATTTTTTAACGATTCTTAGGCTGAGGGGCTGCTTGAGGCTGCGGTTGGGGTGCTCGACAGCTGAGTTTAAAATCTTTAGCTCGAACGTGCATAGGTAATATCCCTGCAAAGTTTCAGCTTTCTACCTTGCCTGGTTCGCGAAATATTTTCCCTCCAACATATTTTTTTGGAGGGCCCGTACGCAGGGTCTAGGCGCGTATGAGGGAACATCTTGAAAAGGGAGGATGAAACACAGGGTAGGAATATATACCCAAAGTTTCAGCCTCCCAGCTTTCCTGGTTGCTGAGCTGAAAGTCGGTGACAAAATGAACTCGCTTTCGAACACACACACAGACGGCCTCTCCACAATATGCGTTTTTGCTGGCTGTAGCGCTGCTATAACGCTGCACAGCAAAAATGTATAAAAACCCGGACAGACACAAACACGCATAAACACGCACACGCACCATGGGTCGTCATAATATAAGCTTTTGCATTTGTATATATGTAGAAACGCACAATGATATGGCTATTGGTTACATCAGTGATAAATCTGTGGTGTGTTAGGTTTAACTTCCACAGATGACTCCCAAATGTGCTAGAAGTAGTGGTACTGACGAACAAAGAAAATGGCACAGTAACTATCCCAATGCGGAAAATAGGGGATTTCAGTCCTCAGAGAAATTTCCGAATTGCATTTCGATAAAACACGCGAGACCGATTTCCCTTCACTCAATCTATACAGTAGTTTCTGTCTGAAGGACAAGACTTCGGTATAAGCACAGTGCTACTAGCAGAGCTGACCAAAACACTCACTGAAGCAGGTGACAGCTACACTTACTTGATCGTATTTAAGATAGAGACACTGTAATGCAATATCAACAAATGGATCCAGACGA